GCGTTCTGACACATATTTTGGAACGACTATTTCTCTTAGGTTTACCCTCCAATACCCACTAAGGTTGAAAACACCAGTCTTAAAAGGAAGACAATTAATTTATAGCTTATCCGCATTCTGTTAGACCTGAAACGTAATAATTATATTCAATGCCGATTTTTCCTATCCGGAAAACACATTAGGTTGTTTTGAATTCATTTTAGATTGAATTGTCATCAGACCTGCTCGTCATATATCCTTTGTCGCTTATCAATATGTGCATCAATCTACTTAAAAGCGGGCCTATTGTGTATATACCAACATTTCAGTTGACACAAATCATTTCAGTTGACATATCATACATCCTCTTGTTTATCACATTGTTGACCTATTTTCACGTAAACAATTCGTGACTGGGAATTCCCATTTATACATTATTAAAGCCTTAATGTAGTGAAAATTTGAACTATTCTTGATTTTATACCGTGACAAGTGGCTATAATTCATTGCACTTCAGGGAGCTCGTAAATTTAACATGTAGAATAATTTCTATGCTTTTGGTTATTAAAACATGAAGCAACTGTTTACCTTCCGGAACATTCGAGGAAACTTAATTAATTGTCTGAACACGATTTAGATAAGTTTGCCATAGAATCATTTCATCCCACACTCACGCACAAAATCTGAGCAACTGGTGGCAGGTGCGAGGGCTATTACTGCAAATATTTCATCTTGGATAAAATTAGCGATTATCGATAGTACCTACTTAAATCTCTACATTATTTAAAATGATGATTGACATAATTAGGTAAGATGACAGTCTTATTAATAACACATGATGTAAAATCAATCGGGGTAAATTCTTGGTGATTTTCCGATTAAGACTGTTCGAACTTAATGTAACAATTTTTGTGACAACGACCTATAGTATCTTGTAAGCTTGCCAGGCAAGGTAACATACGCCCACTGGCAGCTGTCAGAAATGATAAAACAGTCTTTAGTGTTTAAAGTATGAATTTTCTCATATTAAAGAAATTTAATATCAATGTCAATAACCCAAATACATCAAATTATCGCATCAACATACATGATCACACCATGTTTCATTAAAATCAATTGAAAACTGTAGTCTCTAATGTGTTCACAAACAAATTTTGACGCGTTTTTCCTAAGTCAAGGGCAATAACTAAAAAACCGTTCATTGAAAGAACGTCAAATTGAAACTTGACCAAGATCTCATCAATATAAATGATCACACCAAATTTCATTAAAATCAGTTGAAAACTGTAGTCTCTATTGTGTTTACAAACAAATTTTGACGGTATTGCCTAAGTCAAGGGCAATTACTCAAAAACCGTTCATCGAAAGGTCGTCAAATTGGAACTTGACCAAGATCTCATCAATATAAATGATCAAACCAAATTTCATTAAAATCAGTTGAAAACTGTAGTCTCTATTGTGTTCACAAGAAATGTTGACGGACCGACGGACAGCGGCGACGGCAATAAACGTCCACATTTCCATATGGGCGTATCAGCAATAGTAATAAAATTTGAATATTGAAGAATATTAAAGTCATAATGAGCCTATACTCTTGACCAACTAACAGGTTTCAATTCCAGTTATCTTTATCACTCGTTTAAAAAGCAAAATTAACGCCAGTATCATCATGATATTAGTTATCTGACTGAGATAGTTAGTGCCCCTCAAATTTGAGACTGTTCTTAAATGCATACAAAACAGGAGATGATTTTGGTAAGATTATAGGCATAGCTGAAACTGAGCTCTATCAGATGCTAAAGAATTGACTAAACGACTATATTCTTTAATACTCCGAACATTTCCGACGATACTTTCGCTTAAATACTTGCAGCCATTTCACATTTGCGATCATACATTCATGACTTTCCTGTACGTCCTAAAAAAGTGATAATAGGAAAAGTCGGTGATAATGACTAAATGCTGTAAAGGACCTAATGTAACTATCAGGAGTTAAGGAGGATAAATTCATCCAACATAACAGAATAATCACATTATATCATATTGATGTGTGATTACTGATAGGAAATAAAGTATTTCTTAATGACCTATATTTTATTAAAGAGTCTTCATTGTCGGTTGAATATAACCTCAAATGGATAGCAATTATTGCTACATACAGAGCTAAATTAGATTGAATATAGCCACACATAAGAAGAAGATAACAATTATTGGTAAATTAGAAGTTTTGTTTTGAAACAAGTTCAGTGATTTGTCAACTAAGGAAGATGAATTTCTTGGGTTGCTTATCATCTGGGAAAAGGTCTCTATTTCTCAGCAAGTTCGACGCTTGTTCACTAATCTAGAGATTCGGCTAGATTTGTTCGCAGACACTGTGACTACATTTGGAGAGTTAGGGAATTCTTTGCGATCACAGACATAAATCGCATACTAGTTATCAACGATGAGTTAATTGGATATATAGCATCTAAGACAATCCAACTTTAAATTTGAAATACCAGTATTGATTGACGGCTGAATAAATATTTAATCATCGGATGATGCATGAAATCGAAGATATTGAAAATGTAGATCAAATATCGATGTTTAGCTAGTTTTGAAATTAAATATTGTGTTGACTCATTTAGAATTTTTATGTCCTTTAAATACAATTTAGATATAAAAACACTTTTTGTAAAAACCCTCTAAATAAATTTATGTTAGCAGTAAAGATAGTAGTAGAATTAATATTTAGAAATGCGCATATAGTTCAAATTAGAACAATTCTACAATTTTACATAAAAGAAACCATTGAAACATACATGGAACTGTAAGTATAATTCAAGACAGCCTAGCCCAATTGGTATACTATTTAGTGGTGGCTGACTTTTCCAGACAACTTATGTTCATCTGAATTGTTCAGAGATAGAACATGTGTTGTAGTCTTAGCCGTAATTACACATTAATGACGATGTTATACATTCGTATGTATTCCTTTTTATAGAAAAAGAACATAGGACCGTAATAAAACACAGAAGAAACGACACGGAATTACATGCTTATCAATTAACTTCATACAATGATCGATGTAAATGTATCATTACAGGAAAATAATATAGTGTGAAGGCAGAATGTCAATAATAATGATCGATATAGAGCAGGTTTTTACATCTTTAAATGATCCTAATATAAAGTTTTTCGTATTGTGCAATTATAATCCAGATGGTAACCTAGATTATCCGATCTAATACCTGTACATTAAGATAGACTGGAAATTCTAACGGTCTCATCAGATCGGTTGCAGTCTAGACACAAAAATAAACCGCTGACATCGACAAGATCGAATTAATGATATAAGTCGAACATGGGCATTCGGCAGCGATTGCGATTTTCACGCATCGATACGTTCGAAGAGATTAGATAAGAGATAAGATTTTCCCAATTGGTCAAATATCTAGGTTCTCCGACATTCATCCACATTGAAGAAGTTAAAGACTACATTCCAAATATTTGCAATTGCATGGAACAAAAGAGCTCGCGTGTTAACATTTTCGAAGCCACAGAGGTTAATTATTTATTCACAACCACAATAATTAGAATTTCATTACTTGCATGCAGATATCAGATAGGTGGGAAACTACTCAAACCTTTTTATGAAATTCCTTTTATTGTATCTCTTTCCCATATAAGGAGATTGCCATAAGTGTTACACATAATCATAAAGTGTAAGAGATAATATATTGACCCCAATTAAGATAAGACTGAAATTATTAGTATACTTAAATTCAAGAATTTGAATCAGAGTTGACGTTTAAGAAACCTATGGTCTGTAAAAGAGTATGATTTAAATACGTTATAATTATGATGGTATAAAAATATCTGAACCTAGTATGAATATTACTATCTGTTTTTTAGAAAACTTAAAAACTTTTCCTATCGAGGTATCACAACTTAGCGGTACTCTCCAACAGGGCGGTAGGTTAATATTTAATCTATTACTTGGACTATCTAAATCCACATGATATTTCTTAAAAGTTTAGAACATGGGTTTCTATTATAGAAGATTTACAAATTGGACGCTGTCATAGAGAAATGGCTAAAAAGACCACCTGATGTTATAACATTTATCTTCCATTAGGAATTTAAAAAGAGTTAAGGGACACCCCACTACGCTTCTTGTATTTATCTTAGGACATAATTCCATGTCAATTTCTCGCAGATTCTTACATCTACAATATCATCTAATCTAAATTTGAAAAAGTAACAAATCTCAAAATCCATCTAATAATAGGCCATGCAAAGGGATAAAGATGGGCATGTAGGAAACCCGCAAAAACAATTTTTTAGAAAAGTAAGATTAAAGTAACTATAAATGACACCCATCTAATAATAACTGCATGGCTAAATTGTTCCCCACCCTTGCGCAAAAGGCGTATCACGACCAAGGCTGATTTGTGATGAATATGATCCATCATAATAATATGACTAAGAGTTAAATCGGCATTTCAAAAGATTTTCTCAAATCGAGAAATCGACTGTCTATTTATAACTATGATCAGCTGTATAATCACAGATATCGACCGCTCAGGTGTACGACAAAATTGTATCAATTAGATCATGAGCATAAATGGCAACTGCTATTATTCAGTCGCAAATGTGCCAAGGTCGTCAAATCAGATTCTTTAATTTGCAGGATAGCAGCTGCATGTCATTAATTGCTAACAGTAAGATATCAAATAACGCCCTGATTCTTTCAGACGCAAGGTCGATCTGAAAACTCATTTTACCTTCTTATGCTTCGATAATAAATTTCATGAACGCAAATATTTTTAGTGTATCTCTAGCTTTTCAAACACTCTGTAATATTGAAGTAAATTAGTTTGACGTTACTTTTTATCAGTAACTCACATTACTCTATCTAACCCTGCCTAGCAACATGATCAGCTTGATATGATAATTTTAAAACGTTATCTTAAAAATTTTGTTTGGGATAGAGGAATCGTTTTTAAATAAAATAGAGGTCAATTCACATGATGGTTACCATGGCTGTTTCTGAATATGGCGTTCTTGTAGATCAAAGATATTTCGAATCAAAACAAAATCATACGCATTCCAATGTCGTTAATAAGTTTCAAGTATATTAAATTGGACCGTTCGTGTTTAGAATCAGTGCAGAATACACAAATTTTATGATCAAGTCTACTGGACACGAAGTCCTGTTCGAACATGGCATAAAGTTGTCTAGATAGGTTCCTCTTCTTCAAGGTTCATTTTCAGACTGTGACTCTCTGGCCAACCAGCAAATACTTCCCAATTTGTCGAAAAGGCCTGCATTACAGAGTAATGTGATCTGCCAATTATAGTTTCTAGTCCACAAAGATATTAAGATATAACACATATTAATATAATATAAATAGCTATTGTTGTAGATTAATCAGATTTAACAAAACTCTGTGAATATTCAGGGTTAATCTTTGAACCCATAAATCAATATTGATTCTGCTATATCAATATCTCGTCTACTGGATTATTACCCCTATAAGTGGTAAATTGAGACGTAATTTTCAAATCTGTCGTTTGTATCTCCCACAACATGTTTAATGTAATTATTAGAATAACTTCAAGAGTCTGTAGATTGATTTTCGCACCTTCTGTTTGTCCTACCCCGCAAATGTAAAGGCTAGACCAAACCTATCTTAACAAACCTTAATATTAAACACAATCCGAAGTTCATATTGTGAGAATACAAACTTAAAGCAAAACACAGCAAAATTCAGCATCATCAGAATTTCAATCTTCTTTCAACTTAAACATATACATTTTATGTTTTCAGTTAATTGGTTTATCTATTTTGGTAGTTGGTATAGTCTTCAAAGTAAACTTTGACCCTATTAAAGATGCCTTGGTCAATGAAAGCGGAAGCAGTGACTTTAATTTAGATCAAGCTGGTAGTACGTTAGGCATAGGTCTTATCATATTGGGCGTTATTATAATTTTGGTGGCTTTACTTGGTTGTAGTGGAGCTTGCTGTAAATCGAAGGTTCTTTTGGTCATTGTGAGTATTTTTTCATATTTTTTTTCTAGATTTCCTACTGGTTTATATTGGCACGAAACACAGCCATTTAATAAATGGTTTTTGCTTATCAAAAATCTACCTAATATCGACAAGGAAAAATTCCAGAGCCAGGAACCATGCTTTCCCGGCTAGAATATAAAAAAATTGTATTGTATAATTATGTTTATGCTTTTCGTTTCTAATTTCAGTATGCTCTAATTGTAATAATAATTTTGATTGCGGAAATTGCCGTGGTTGCTGTTGCACTTATTAAAGGAGGGGATGCAAAGGACGTGTTACAGAAAGGTCTGCTGAAATCACTGGAGAAATATAAACCAAACAGCGAAGACTCCCTTTCTAAATCGTTTAATGCTATCTGGTCAACGGTAAGATAATTATCGCACAATATGTACGCTGCGATTCCCCCTATGCTGAATTTAAATGGGCGAGGAAATTTTATGGATATTGTATATTTGATTTAAGAAAGGAAGCATCATGTTAAAGTATTTTATATGATGTCCAAACGGTTCAAAAAGCTAAACATCCATATTGATATATTGTTTTAAACCTAATTCGTTTTTGCTTTCAGTTCGAATGTTGTGGCGTATATAACTACACTGACTTTAAGAGTGGTCGAGTGGAAGGTTTTAAATTTCCCCCAAAAAACATACCAGAACAGATTCCAATTGGTTGTTGTAAAAATTTTGATTATGAAAATGCAGAAAAGGCAAATTATACGGACCACATAGTATGTTTGACCACTCCAACCGAAAAAAATGCATACATAGATGTAAGTTTATGATATAATTTGCAATATGATGCCATAACTGGCACAGAACTGAGCAGGTACGGAACTTAAAGCCACAATGTGTCAAATATAATATGTTTAATATGTTAACTGAGAATCTGGTCACTTCATTTATCGATACCATTGTTAAGTTTAAAATATAAATCTTAGCATGATATTTTTATAGGCGACCTATCGCTTGATGAAATGTTTTAACAAAACTATTTTGGCAAAGAATGGACAACTGAACGCAGACAAATGTGTTATTAACATGTATGGTGTAAAAAAAGAGGACAGACGAGGTCCCAAGTCTTCAATTTTAGTTGAAAATTATTGATCCTTGGTTTTGGGTAGGTTTTCTGCTTAGCGATTAGCTGCCTTTGATTACTGAAAGGTTTTTGCTACTATATGCAGTAATTTTTAACTTCGAGTCCAAGGTCGCGGCATCTAATCTTTTTAATGGTTAATTCAAAGAGTATTGTTATGGCATGTCTTTATGTTTCTAGGGATGTTACACAGCTCTACAAGATTCCATCTCTCATTACACAGCAGTAGCTATTGGTGTAGCTGTAGTAATTGTTCTTATTGAGGTAAGTTCAAGATATCTCTTGTAAACGTTTGCTTCACATGAACATCGGAAGGTTTGACTATAGGTTAGACATGAGGACAGCTATGGTCTGATAAGACCAAAGTTATTTTACTCTTTCAGCGTCTAATAACACTAATTCTTTTTTACATTCCCATATAATTTCATTAAATTTTTTGTTTCATTTAATGCATGCAGTTTATCCTCTTTTAGCATGTAACTGTTTTACTTATCGCATGTTAGCTCACCTGAAATTTTATATAGTAGCACTTTCTGAATACAGTAGCTAAATTGACACGGTGTTTGTGTTCGCTATAAAGTTCTAGGTTACTCTTGCCTATGGCAAACCTGAAAATTCATTAAGGAGTTAAGAGTCTCCTGGCGTTAGATAAAAATCTGGATATTAAGAGTTACAAATATAAGGATATGTCAATTGCTTAAAATATCCAAATTTAAGTCATCAAGGGTAATGAAGCTTATTTGTTTTGGAGTTCACCCATTTTGTTTTCCCTTCTTCTACCATTGATATTATTTGTTACAGATCATTGTTATTTTGGCTGCCTTCTGTTTATGCTGTAGAAGTGATGACTACCAAGCATAATTTTCATTTTTTTGCTTTTTTAACCATTCATTTTGTAACAGGTATTATTTGCTATTTATAAATTATTCACTATACCGATTCATTTAACTAAGCATGTATTTAGTTTAGTTCTCAGTAGCTGACGAGAGGGGGTGGGTTACCCCTTATTTCTCCAAAATCATTAACACAAAGCGTCTTTCCGTCAATTGGCGGGTCGAATGATATAATCTAAACTTTCTGGTCAACTGAAATTTTACGCATGTCAGTTTTCACAGTAATCATGTCGATGAATAAGGAAAATTCTGTTTTCGGAATGAATTGACGTGTCCCTCTACCTCGGTGTCTTCATGAACCAAAATGTCTGAATAGCACATGATAAAAAATAAAAGGGTTATCGCTGCTTTGAATATAACTAGATCACTGCAACTTGGCAACTTGCAAGAAGCTGTAATCGTGATTTCCTTGCTTCTTGGTGTGGTCAATTGAAATAGCATTGTACAATGTTATGTTCCTAGTTACCCCACAACGTTTATATGTGGACTCTCTGAAAGATAAGATCAGTAGGAGATTTTTACAAGCACTATCCGAAGAATTAGAATGCCTCAATTATCCGGCCAATACTACGCTACTTCTGTCCTGTCATCGACTCAACATGTGTCGAAAATATAATATATCGACTTAAAGTTGTTCGAAATGTTTCCTTACGAAAAGGATTACCATCTTTGTAGATATTGTACTAAATATTTAAATGTTTTTATGTTTACAGATCGTAGTTATCATCGCTGCCTTCGTCTTGTGTTGTAGAAAAGATGAATTCGTATAAACCGGCCAACTGACAGAAAGTGTTCCTTAAAAACTTTCTTGTAAATATCAAAATACAACTTCATTTCATTCGACTCTATATTTTCTTAACCTCATAATATTTGTGTTTCTCAGAATAATTCAAATTCTTGTTCACTCATGTGAAACCTTTCGTTACCCGCAACTGTATGAAGCTTTGTGTAAAATAAGTGTTCTAAATTTTGTGTTTGATAACTTTGATTGCAATATTCGAGGATAATATTGTATAAATAGAAAGAGAATCCAATTCATGCCTTGTTATACAGGGATCAGAAGTTAACCTTGAACAAGAAGTACAAGCGGTTGTAGTCAAATCCAATGTAAAGTTATAGTCTTCATACTTACAGTAATACAAATAATTCGATCAGCCTAGGTAAATGAGACGGACCCGATGAAATTTCCAATTGTCATTTTTCACTGGTCTCCGACAATTAATGTACAGTACTGTATTTGGAATTACGTTTTCGAGGCAGGCTTCGTGTACAAAGATGGGGACAACGCCTTTTTATTCCACATTCGACGATTAGAAGTTGCGAAATACATTACGTTTGTCGATTTGGTTTGCAATTTTGACATTATGGATAGATATTTTGTTTAGGGAATGATGTTAAATTTAAGACTGATCAAGTAATGTTCTCCTTTAATTGTTGCTTGTATAATTAATTTTGTCTTCGCTAATTAAGTTTTACTTTGTTAATATTTGTTAAGAAATTGTTGTAATTGTATTTTGTAATAAAAGTATGCATATAATAATAATATTCTGTTCAATGTAACGATATGGCGATATTCATCAATATAACAGTTTTTAAACTGTTAAAGTGTTTATGAATATTAAAAATTTATACCCTTCTTTAACTCTGTATAGCTCTTTAGCTTAACAATAAGTAACAATTTGTTGGTTTAGTTTTATGGTTTTCTATTCCTGATTTTTATTTTACACAACGTTTCAACAATTTACATTGTCATCATCAGGTGAAATAATATGAAATGATGAAGTTATTTAGCTTTATAAGGCTGAGGCTGTTCCTTCTATCCAAGCGTGGTCTATAGAAGTATTCTTCAAGCAATGTCTTCGCTTTGCATGCGATTTGCCGACTAAAGTAGAAAGAGTTTTCTCCCTTCGATGAAAATGAATCTGTCTCTATGTTAAATCACAAAATTCAACCTTCTATAACTTTTTCTAGAAAACTTGTTGAAAACTTTCCAATATGTCACATGAGATCCTGGCCAATGCTTAGTTTCTGGACAAAAATTCAATATATTTTGACCATGAAAATCTTGAACTAGCCAAACTGACAGTAGACCACTACATTTTATCAACATCCGCTTGACTGTCAAAGCACACAATACGGCTATATTTAGAATTATCCTTCCGCATGAAAAAAAACTCATCATCTCACAAAATCTGAAAGAAAATGCAATTGCAGATATTAAATTCCAAATCTAGACCAAAAGTTAGTCAAAAATAGGAATGCAAAACCCCCAAGAAGGGGGGAGAGAGAGGATTTCTAAAAAATAGCGCGGACTACATTCTGGAGTGGGTCCATTAACGCTAGAATGTATAGGCTTCTCCCTTTAATCAAACGGTAAACACTCTCTGAAATAAAGGCCAAATAATACTTTTTTTTATTAATACATAATATATTTATTTTTTCAACTAAATTGGGGCAACCTGTTTTCATGGGCCTCTTATTTCTGCACTAATTAATGATACGAAGACAGAGCAACTTGAACATATTGTACATAACACAAATTTAACTTAAATCGGTTAAAGTTAACTAAGCTATCTATTTCTGGTGTTGGATAATCTCCTATTGAAACATTGGCCATGGTCTGGCTGTAAATAATCCACTATGATGCCAAGGTGGATTTTTTATTCCTCAACTGCACAAATGATTGCAGTCAGTTTCAATTAAGTTTACCCGAGTACAATCTTAATCTGATGCTAGCTTAGCTTGCTACCATGACATGAGATGGTAATGTGTAGGTGCAATATCAAGGCTCTTGGACTGCCTCATCCTCCCAAAATGATGATCGTCGACAAAACATGTCAGATCGCTATTTGATGTGTTAATACCCTACAATCTATTGTAAGTCATAATGAAAATCGTTTAAATTCTTAAAACTTTAATTATAGCGTGTTAGTGTCAACAAACAAACGAATTTGACCTTTTATCTTCTGCAATAGACTACATCATTATCACATTTATCACATGATATACTTTAATCTAAAGATATTCGTCAACTGTTTATTTTTTGTGTCTAGTTTTTAGTGGATCAGGTCAGATGTCAGCTCTTCAGTTTTTGTCATTTTTTCGCTTGATGAAAACCTAATTACTGGTTAACTCCTATCTTTAACACGCTACATTAATTTTAAGACTATTATATTGCAAGATTTCTTTCATATTCTGTCTGCATTTTCTGTTATCCTTTAAGAAAAAGTCAGAATTTCGGGAAGTGTTTGACATGGCGCCAAACAGCTAATTAAATAAAATTCATAGAAACACAAGTTTGAACTATCCTGTCTGCAAAACGAAACTCGAAATAAAAACAGTTTCGCTAATCATTGGTAGCAGGATGCTCGGTATCAGCTATTCATAAGAGAAAGTATATCAATCATGAATGAGGAAGTATTTTATTAAGAAATATGTCTTTGATGTCTAGAAGAGTAAGTATACCCTATGCGGCGCAGGCAAAAGCATGAGTTACCTCGTGTATAATTAACATAGGAGATATTTATAGCCTCTATCTGCACCATTCTGGTCTCTTGTTCAACATCAGTGGTTCCAGATAAATTAACAGGTATGTAACACCACTATAGACATACTATTGAACTTCAAAAGCGCTGACCGAGTTGATCACGTTAAAGATCCATTGACAGTTGGAAATCGAAAAATGTCTCTCAATGCACACTACATGGCGTAACCAGTGTTATTTGGCCCATTAGGTGCAGAAAAGTAAGATTCAATACCAATTTGTCATACCGTACTTAAAATCTTGATTATTGGTCTGTAGGAAAATAAATGCTAGAAAATCAAACCTCGAATGACATACATCAAGTCTTTGGTCGCTGATATAGATTCATAAAATGTAGGACATAATCAAAGAGATATTAAATATATGGATAGGTATCTCAAGCTCCATTCCATTGGAGCAGATCTAATACATTGAGGATTAAACCTGAAATATATTTGTTTTCAAAAATATGACACCGCAATGAATGCCAAATATTTAAATTTGGAAACACAAAGAAATGATTTTTTCGATTCTGAACTTGTAACAGATGCCCAATGCAGCAAATCCAATTTAGTTTTAACGAAGCGTTAAATAAGAGTAGCCTCCCTTACACAAGACATTACAAATATCATCATTAAATCCGGCTTCATATGCCCACGTTATATTAACCATTTTCTTTTAACAATTAATGTGCGGTCAAGGTGAACAAGAAAATGACCATCGTCCATCTGAGTTGATATTTTGAGTGACGGATTCATTACACCCCCTGCACATTAATGTTATGACGGTCACTATAGTCTCTCATTAAATCGAATAAGTATCAAAATGGTCTTTCAGGGGGAAAATGAAGTCGCCAAGTGAGCTATTGTAAATTGTAAAAGATATTGTGGATATTGCAAAGTAAATAAGAGAGTCCACAGAATATACACATCTGTTAGTAAATTTGGCCGATTTCGTTCCACAAATATACGTAAGATATATAAAGATTCTTAAACAAGCATTTGTCCACTAATGCATACAACTTTACCTCTGCAATCTCCATGCGATTCATAAGAATATTTTTACGACCAGTTCATCAAAACTTATAAGTGTCCAAGAGAAACTAACTAATATGGGTTGTGTTATTGTTACTATTAGTATATGTCACTATTGAACAAAAGGAGTTACGAAAGATAACGACAACGAATTTCCAAATTCAATTAAAATTATCTACAGTGTGCAACTATTTTCATCTGTTCTGACTACAAAAATTATCAAGTTGAAACCATTCACACAATTTACATGAAAACATTTTGATTTTTAGCCAGAGGAAAACGGTTTCCTCGTAAGAAAAGACAAAATTTCACTTATCGTTCGCCCTTAAATATTTTTTTATTTTCAAAAAGTACTCATTTACTCTTTCGTTGGTTTCATTTTATGTAATTGATGAACTGCGATAAATTTTATTATCATTTTATTATATCCAAGAATATCGCCCTTGCATATATTATATAATCTTATTGCAAAGCATCTTTATCGATCATTAAGTCCAGCTGATACAGAGAATTTTAACCACATTGAACAAACTGTAACAAATTAAATATTCGTTAAACCCAGTATAAGCCGATCGTGAGATTAAATGCATTCATTAGGTACAGCACATTAGAAATAATGAGGCCACAGCTCTGTTTTCTTGTACGACATTAGGTCTTTCTCAATTTCATTTTCTAAATGACCAATTTTGACCATAGTAAGACGATCATCCACTAACTACATCGTCCAGTGTATTGTTGACCAGAAAATGACCAACACCTGGACATCGTGTAATGAGTAAAGTTCATTGTTCAGCGACAAATCTTCATCAATTGTTTTGTGTTTCATGTCGTTCTCCAACACGCTTTTCATTGAGTCTTGGGCATGTAATGGGTCTGCGGTAAATCACCCCATCCTAAACAACAAATTCTAGATTTAAGACTTTTTAAGCCACTTCTGATGGTTTTAATGAGACGAATTTTATCCAGTGAGTACACAAAACAGACAAATAGAATTTCGTGAGCCAAGGGTCAATTATTTTAGACATTACATTGACCCCGATTCGTTGATAATTCGGCTAAAGCTACTTGAGTGATCCTTTCATATCGTTCGTCAATTTCATTTTCAAGGAAATTAATGAGAAAATGACAGATTCCATTAATGTTTATTGAAGGATTTAATCCATAAAATATCATTAAAATACAATAACTGTAATGCACAAAACTATACTCCATGAAATTATCAATAGCAAATAATGAAACATTCAGAAGTGGCTCCTTACATTGATCTCGATTGTAAAATACTTTTCTAAAATTCTACCTTGAAATATTAGTCCCTCATAGATTTAAAGGAGGACTGTAGGAAACAAGAAACACACCCAGAATAAGTTGCCTAATTGTCAACATAAGTGTAAGAAATATGGTCAAGGCATGTTATTTCGTCGTACGATAATACAGAAATCAGACGAAACAAATTGGTTATATAATGTTTTTGACAATAAAAGTATGAAAAGTGTCTTATTTGGTGAAAACTAGGGTTAAAGTTGTTGGCATAATAATTCTTCCTGTGATAAATTCAATATTTAGTGTTTTTAAGGGAGATTGAAGGTGTATGTCGCTAAATTAGTTTTTGTGCCATGTCAATACGGTGAATTTATATTCGGTTACATGTACACATGTGTTTGAAATAAGATATTGACTGTGAATACCCAATTCCAACTGACATTGGTTTAACAGAGATGACCATGAGGAGGCACTATTTCCAGTGGTGGGAGGTGGGGGAAATGAGAGGCAAGGTGATCTACGACTGAAATTGACGTCATTCACTCATGTAACATTCGGCCCAATTAGGGTCACAATGAACTATTTCCATATTTGGAGTATGATTTTATTCCATTCATGATTAATCGTTAATTTAACCTTTCGAGTGAATTATGTTTCAAAATGACAGATTTTTTGGGGGGAGGAATAGATTTAGACAAACTCTTCCAGGAATGATTGA